GACAACCCAGGCTCTACCCACTGCTGCAACCAGTATCAGACTTCTGTCTACAGGTTTCTTCTGCACTGGCAGGTGATGACGGTACTGCCTGGGTCATGATGTTCCTAGTGCCCCAAGCAGTGGACAAAAGACGGAGGATCTGAGGAATTTTCCAGAGGAAGAGGTAAAGTAGCCTCAATGAAAAATGTTCCTGTTTCCTTTGGATTTAAACACATTGTAGTAAATACTTTGTGCAGTATGAAATCCGTGCTATTTAGGGAGCTATCCAGCCCTTCATCTACTAATCTATTAATTGTTTTTAAAGAGTCCTATGAAAAACAAGAAGTGTCCCTAGGTCTCCATGATATAGTCCTCAACTCTGACTTATAATATGGGTGATTATTTTCATAGGAACATCTTGAATTTCTTCAACAACATTCTCTTTGTTTATGCTCAGTGGAACTAATGTGAAGTGTTCCCTTTTTACGTATTAATTCAATTGCAGGGCTAGAGGCTTAGTTTTGTCGTGTGGAGAGAGGGAGGAAGAAGAGTAGAGGGGGAGATGGGGGAACAGAGTGAGCAGCAGAGGGAGGCAAAGGAGGAGAATGACGAGGAGGGGGAGGGGAAGTGGGGGAGAGTAGAGGCAATCCAAGGGATTCAGGGGAGGAGGTGGAAGACAAGATGATCTGGAGTTAGAGATGGAATGCATTGGGCAGATGTGAGAGAGGAGAGATGGGAATAGATGATTAGGTAGAGAGAAATAAGAGATGGAGGAGGGAGAGAGAGGAGGGGAAGATGAGAAACCAAATCAGCATTGACAGTAGAAAAGGATAGGAAACCGCAGCAGCAGAACGAATCTAGCTGTTCAGAGACGGAAGAGTGGGAAGAAGAGGGAGGAGGGGAGAGATGTCAGAATAAGGAGGAGACAGAGGCTGGGACTGGATCCCAGGTCTGCAAGGTCTTTCGAGTGAGCTAGGTTTATCAACCGTTTTTCTGACAGGAGGAACATGGTCCAGCCTGTGGGTGTCCTCTTGGTTTCGAGCTGCCTGTTTCACACTCTGTTCAGTGTTCTAGATGAAGGTGAGGCATGGAGTGAGTGTGGTTGGGGGTGAGTTTTTGATGAAGTTGCTGCACACATCAGGACTATATGTAACAACTTCTGAGGTGTCCTGTAGGGGAGAGGCCACCCTTATTTTGTGTCTTAATGAATGAAAGGGTAAGTTCTCTGTCATCCAGTTTTTCTTAAGTGTAGAAAATATGATCTGCCAAAAAAGACTCAAAACTAGCAAGATTAAACTAACAAGCAGAAAGACAGAGGTCATACCACATCTTCGTTTTGATATGTTTTCATTGCCTACAGAAGGAGAAACTTACTTTTTGTAAAGGCTATTTTCTTTCTTAATTAAAGTTATGTTGTCTTGGGTTAACTCTGAATTGGCTATTTATGGAGGGACTTCCTTCTGGTTCATGTCTTAGTGTTGTGAGGATTATGTAGAGTGATGCCTACTGCTTTTTATGGAGTGACTGAAAGCGCATACTCATTTAATAACCCCTCGACATGTTTTAAAATAATGAAAAGCCTGAATGGATAAGTGTTTTAAAATGAAAGAGAAAGAAGAGATTCTTCTCGTATGGCCACTTTTGTATCAACCGGAATTCCTATTTTATGATCATTGAAAGATAACACTTTTTGCCTTAGCTGTATGTCTTTATTTTGAAAATCTAAATACCATTTATTTATTTGTGTATGTGCATGCACTCTTGCCTGTCACGGTATGCATGTGTAAGTCAAAGGACAACTTGCAGGAGTCTGTTTCCATTCCCGCTCCACCATATGGATCCCAGGGATCAAATCCAGGTCATCAGGCTTTGGTGGTAAGCACTTTTCTCCCCTGATCCATCCTGCTGGCCCAGGTCTCTCTTTTAACATGTACACTTTATACAGTACACATACAGGAAACTGATAAGATGCTCCTAAGACCCCTCCACTTTCAGTGTCTGTCCTCTGAAGGCATGGACATCTTATCACTCCATGTATTATTACTATCATTGCTGCTATGTAGAGTGAGACCCCATGGATGCTGGGCATGTTAGCCTGTGAGTAGAATGATTCAGGGATGCTTTGGTTTGGTTATCCAACCGCTGCTTATTCATGACCCTTCTTTAGACAGCTCATGTTCATTTGTTTCCTAGAGTTACAAGGGGCCCCATCAATGCCCCCCTTTTTACTGTCACAGATAAGCATTCTTGCCTCCATGCATATACATGTGCCATGTACATGCCTGGTGGCCTTGAAGGGTGGAAATGATATCCTGGAACTGGAACAGATGGTTGTGAGTTGACATGTGTCTCCTGAGAACTGAGCTCAAGTCTTCTCTCTGCAAGATCAGCAAGTACTCTTCACCACTGAGACACCTCTGCAGTTATCACTCCAATTTTGTCTTATATTTTTTGTGGGGGTGAGGATAGCGTATCATGACACCAACACAGAGACAACTTGTGAGAGTTGAGTCTCTCCTTCCATTGTGTGGGTGCTAGGGACCTAAGTCAGGTCCTCATACCTATCTTGGCAGTAAGTATCTTTACCTGCCCAATGCCTGTAGGGCTTTTGTCTGAGCCCCTGAAGTACATACTGAAGCCTTGTGATGCTGACTGTAGTCAGCGTGGGCTGTGATGATCATGTTACCACCATAGCCAGTCTGAAGATGATAGAATTTGATCAGAAGTTGGAGGCATTGTGGTTTTTCCGAAATTTTCACATAATGAAAATGATCAAATTTTAGCCTTTTGGCAGAGATAGCCTGGTAGGCTTTGGGGTGAAAAAATTACATGTCACAGATACCTTCAGTCAATGATTGAACAGGCACGTGGGGAGACGTGGGAAGGTAGAAGACACAGGTCTTGAGCAGTACGTGCTGAAACCGTTTGTGATCATGGCCTGGAGAAGGAGAAGCGGTTGAGTTGGAAACATTTCACAGAAGGCTGGTTTGAGTGATCTTATTCCAGGCTTGAAATTATTATTATTTTGGGAACAAAATATAGAACCAAAAGTTGGCAAATAGTAACCTCTCTTGCTTTCTTTTTCTTCCATTTTCATTTAAAATTTTTCTTTATTCTTTTTTTTTGTGTTTTTTTCAAGACAGAGTTTCTCTGTATTGTTTTGGAGCCTGTCCTGGAACTCGCTCGGTAGACCAGGCTTGGTCTCGAACTCACAGAGATTCACCTGCCTCTGCCTCCTGAGTGCTGGGATTAGAGGCGTGCACCACCACCGCCTGGCAATTTTTTCTTTATTCTTAAGAATTTTATACATATGTATATGCAATAAAATATGATTATATATCCTTATTCCCCTGTTCAATTTCCCCCAACATGTCCCATCTCCAACCTTTAAAAAAAATAACCCATTAAGTCTAGTTAATTGAACCCATGCGTGCATGGCATGGGTGTGGGCCATTCACTGAGGCATGGGAATCCTATCAGTAGCCACACCTTCAAAAAACTATGATGCTCTTTCCCTGAAGCCTTTGAATGCCAATAGCTCCCCATTAAGGCATGGGCTGGAGAGCTGGAACATTGGCTTAATGATCTTGTGCAAGATAATCACAGCTGCCATGGATCCATGAGTGTGACAGCTGTGTCCAAAGGGCAGAATTTCACAATACTTCTCCCCACACTTGGGCTCTTACACTTTTTATGCTTCCTTTTCTGCAACATTCCCTAAGCCCTGGGGAGAGGGGCTTGATAGGAATGTCCCATTTAGGGCAGAACACTCCATATCCTATCTTTTCTTGTTTCCTATGTTTATGTTATGGGGAACACCCCAGAAATTACTTTTCCTGAAAGACATTTCTCTTTTTTATTTCTGTCACTTTGGATGCCTTATAGTGGAGTTGGTTGGTAGGTAATGTGTCACAAGTGGAGGTTATGTTATATATATATATATATATATATATATATATATATATATATATTTTGTGTTACTTTGTCATGTTTTGGATGCATGTTGCAGTGGGTTGGATTTTCACTTCCTTTTCTCCCAAGCCTATTGGGATGTTCTGTTTTCTGTGACTCTTATTAGAGGAATATTCGCATGCAGTTCAGCTTGGAGGCTGGTGAAACACAGTGGTGATTATCAAATGGATTACTGAAGCCATCCCGTGTTTTGGCTATGTGCCAACAGGACCAAGGGTGAGGCTAGACACTCAGCACCCAAGGTGACTGGGTGGAGTCAAAACCCCAGTCAGCCCTTGGCTTCTAAGAATCTGCTGGAGTCAGAATACCAACTTCAGATCCAGTAAAGTGGGCTGTGGTTATAGCCATGGGCCCAGAAAAAACTCTGGGGCCTCAGCTGTATAGAGTCCAGATGCTGCAGCAACAATTGGAACTTTAGGAATGGGAAGGCAACTCACACAATGACCTGAGAGACCAAAGCTCCATTCTTTTTTTTTTTAGCATAATATTATTTGTTTATTATTTGGAAATTTCACAAGATTCACCGTGATCACATTCATTTCCCAGTCAACTCCACCCACACCCTTGTTACATCCCTCAATACCAAAGGGGAAGGAGGAGGAGGAGGAGGAGGAGGAGGAGGGGGAGGAGAAGAAGAAGATCAAGTTCAATTTGTGTTGCCAGTATAATCACTGGAGCATGGTCAAACCCCTAGTGGCCATCCTCTTAAAGAAAACTGTGTCCTTCTTCACCCCAACCCCCACCAGAAGCCATCAACTGTGAAGAGTTACACTTCAGCATCCCTATCCTAGTTTTTACGAGCTCTCTTCAACGATTTCCTGTCTAGACTGTCTTTGCAAGGACGAGTAGGGAAGAGAGGTTGCCACAGAAGCCTTCTATGTCTCTCATTTTCAACTGTGAGTCTTCGGCCTTTAATGCCACTACAACAACAACAAAAAACTTCCTTGCCCTTTATAGTTAGCAGCAGAATGTTTAATAGACTTCCACATGGTTTCTGGTTACAGCACAGGCCATGAACATCAACATTAATTCAGGGGACAGCATAAACCATGGATATCCCCATGGCTTCAGTGATAACAGGGGCCACAAACATCAACATGGTCCCCAGCTACTGCAGGGTCATGAATACCAGCATAATCCCTGGTGGTATCGTGGACCATAGATATCAATATGGTTTCAGGTGGCAGCACAGCCCACGGAAATCAACATAGCTTCAGGCAGCAGCATGGACCACAAACATCCACATGGCCTTTGGTGGTAACATGACCCGTGGACATCAACATGGCCCCTGGTCCAACCAGGGCAAAGGACACCAACAGGGTCCTCAGCAGCAGCATGGACCATGGATGATAACATGGCCTCAGGTGGCAGCTCAGGCCACACACACATCAAGATGGCTTCCAGCAGCAATGCGGACTAGGGACATCAACAGCCCTCAGCCACAACACAGACTACCGACATCATCACAGCATCAGGTCCCTGGCACCAAAGCTCCATTTTTTTATGGGACCCTGGGTACTGGAGCCAAAGATAAGTTCTGTAGTGACCTTTGAGACTCTTGGACTAGAGTCCCAGTTACAAGGGTACTTTCTTACCCTGTATAAACAATGATCTTCAAATTTTTCACAGCAATTGAACTTGGTGTGATATTTTTGCTTCTTTCATTTTAAGCGTTAAGTTTAGTAAAATAATTATTTGTTCCCATTTGTGTCTTTCAGATTATTATCCACCAACCATGGGTGAGTTTGTTTCAAAAACTTTTATTAGAAGTTGTAAAAAATGTGACAGATAGTGTCATTGGATGTTCCATTTTTTTTTTTGGTTTTATGAGACAGGGTTTCTCTGTATTGTTTTGGAGGCTGTTGGTCCAGCCCAGCCTCGAACTCACAGAGATCCGCCTGCCTCTGCCTCCCGAGTGCTGGGATTAAAGGCGTGTGCCACCACCGCCCGGCTGGATATTCCATATTTTTTAATGATGAAATATTACTTTTTGTGTGTATACAAAGCAAAGGAAGTTCCTTTAAAAATAGTTAAGGATTTTGTGTGGCTTGAGCATGCATGGACTCTGTACATGCTGCCACAGTTGCTGTGAATTCAAATGTTCAGCTGTCCTGTTCCATTCCCTCATTCACAATGCCCCTGAGCCTGGGAGGATGGAGTGTGGTACAGATCTCCCATGTAAAGCTGAACATCCCACAGTGTCTTGTCCTCTGTGTGTTGACCAGTGTGGGCGTCTATTAAATGCCATCTGCTCCATACAGAAGTTTCTTTGAGGAGGCTAGAGTTCTGCACTAATTTATGGGTATAATGATAAATTATTAGGAGTGGTGGGCAGGAATTCCCACCCCTCACCAAGGAACTATTGCTACTTGATAGCTTCTGGGAGAAGAAGACTTAGTTGTCTTTAAAGGCGTGGACTCAGGTAGGTCAATCACACTCCGATAGATGGCCACACACCCAGTCACCTATAATATATAGGGAAAGACTTGGGTAGGAATGGAATGGGGTGTGGATTTGGGAGGAGCTTCTATAGGGAGTGAATATGATCAAAAGATAATGTATGAAATTAATAAAATGTTAAAAAATTAAAAAGAATGATAACTTTTATATTTACATTTAAATTAGAAACAAGGTTGCTTCACATGTCAATCCCAGCTCCCTCTCCCTACCCATCTCCCACGTCCTCCCACCAAAGCCTGCTCCGTTCCCCAGGGAGGGTGAGGCCCTCCATGGGGGATATCCAGAGTCTGTCATTTTGTTCAGGGAAGGGCCTAGGCCCTCCCCCAAGAGTCCAGGCTGAGAAAACATCCCTCATTGAGGGATAGGCACTCAAAGTCCATTTGTATGACAGGGATAAATACTGATCTACTTCCCAAGGCTCCATATATTGCCGAGGCCTCCTCACTGACACCCACATTCAGGGAGTCTGGGTCAGTTTCATGCTGGATTCCCAGCCATCAGTCTGGGGTTCAAGAGCTTCCCCTTGTTCAGGTCAGCTGTTTCTGTGGGTTAAACAAACCAAGTCTTGACCCCATTTGCTCATCATTCCTGAATAATAACTTCTAAGAACAATACTTTTAAGTGATTCAGTGGGTCATTATGGACATGTCAGACTGTTATTTTCTTTCCTCAAAGACTGAACACTTCAGAAAATAATGAAACATAACTTTTCTCTGTCTGTTCATATGGCTGTTTTTGGTAATAGCTGAACATACTCTAAAGCACGTTTTTCTTTAAAATACCCTTACTGATTGATATTTTAATTGATTATTTTCACAAAGAGCTATTTTACTTTGAATTGCGCATCTGTGTGTGTGTCTGCTGGTACCCACAGGGCCTTGGTCTGGTCTTACATGTTTTTGTGGCTGTTACAGTCTTTCTGCCCCTCTTCCATGATGTTCTCTGAGTTGCAGGGGCAGGGTGTATGGTACAGGTTAGGGTGGGAACTTACTCTCTGCACTTTGATCAGTTATTTTATTTTGATCAGTTTATTTTATTTTATTTTTTTTGGTTTTTCGAGACAGGGTTTCTCTGTGGCTTTGGAGGCTGTCCTGGAACTCACTTTGTAGACCAGGCTGGCCTCGAACTCACAGAGATCCACCTGCCTCTGCCTCCCGGGTGCTGGGATTAAAGGCGTGCGCCACCAACGCCTGGCTCTTTTTTTTTCTTTTTTTTTCTTCTTTTTTATTTTTGAGTCAGCTTTGTAGACCAGGCTGGCCTCGAGCTCACAGAGATTCACCTGCTGTTGCCTCTCCAGTGCTGGAACTAAAGGTGTGTGCCACCACCATCTGGCTATGAATGGCATTCTTAATTGGAGTGCTATTCCAACTAATGGTAGGAACACAGGACTATCTATTGCCAACAAAACTAATTAACTTGACTGGAGAGGGGACTTCTAACATATTCGATATTATCAAAGAGAATTAACCTATAAGCCTATATAAAGTTATTTGACTTTGTAAAGCTGGCAGAAATGATTAGAATCTGGCTTTGTGGTTGATATAAGATAAATATATTATAAATACATTTTCTGGTTAATTCATGTTAAGAGTCTATCAGACACTTCTAAGAGTGGAAGTAGTCTCCTTTACATCGATAATGAAATATACTTCGCAATTAAGTCATTAAGAAATGTACAGGATTAGGAGAGAGCCTGCCTAGAATACCCCAGTGAGGGGCTAAGGTGTGACTCAATGGTAGGGCCCCTGCCTAGAGTTCCCCAGTAAGGGGCTGGGAGCATGGTTCATTGCTTGCCCAGTGTGCACAAGGCTCTGGGTTCAATCCTAGAATGAAAAAATATGTAGGCTTTCAATAAAGTAAATCATTTCAGGTGGATAAAACTAGGTCTGAAAAAAGGTGTGTGATACTCTTGACATAACTTCATGCCAATGTTGCTTTTCTTCAGACTAACATAGAGCTATTAATGTCATTTGCTGGAAGCATCTGTCTTAAAGCCTAATACTGAAATGAACTTTACTTAAATTTTTATTTCCCAGATTCTATCATTAGACAGTCAGAGATAGAAGGTAAGTTGATCAGAAAATTTTCATTATTAATGTATGTTCTTTCACTTAAATTCTTTTATTCATCATTTTTTATTTATCTTACATACCAACCATAGTTTTCTCTCCCTCCTCTCCTCATGTTCCCTCCCCTCACCTCCCTTCTACGCCCCCCCCCCATCTACTCCTCCTCTGTCTCCATTCATAAGGGCTACGGCCTCCCATGGGAATCAGCAAAGCATGGCATATCAAGTTGAGCCAGGACCAAGCCCCCCCCCCCCCCGCCTCTGCCTCCCCCATCAAGGCTGAACAAGGCATACCACCATGGGGAATAGGTTCCAAAGAGCCAGCTCACAAATCAGGCACAGGTCTGCAGGTTCTGGTCCCACTGCCAGGGGTCCCACAAAGGATCAAGTTACACAATTGTCACCTACATGTGGAGGGCCTAAGTCAGTCCCATGCCACTCCCTAGCTGTTCATCCAGAGTCTGTGAGCTCCCACAAGCTCAGGTCAGCTGTCTCTGTGAGTGTCCCTGTCATGATCTTGACCACCACCCCTTGCTTATACAATCCCTCCATATTCTTCAGCTGGATCCCAGAGCTCAGCCCAGTGTTTGGCTGTGGATCTCTGCATCTGCTTCCATCGCCTACTGGATGAAGGTTCTATGATGACAATTGGGGTAGTCACCAATCTGATTACAGGGGGGAGGCCAGTTCAGGCACCCTCTCCACTATTGCTAGGCGTCTCAGCTGGGGCCATCCTTGTGGATTCCTAGGAGTTCCCCTGGCACCAGGTTTCTCCCTCACCCCATAATGGCCCCGTCTATCAAGATATTTCTTCAATTACTCTCCCCCCTCCATCCCGCCCCCAACTTTACCATCACGATCCCCCATTCTCTTAAATTTTTTATCTTTATTTTTGCTTTATGTGCATGGGTGTTTTGCTTGTTTGTATGGCTGTTCACCATATGTATGCCTAGCGCACGAGGAAGCCATAAGAGGGCAAATCCCCTGGAACTGAAGTTACAAATGATGGTGAGCCACTATGTGGGTCCTGGTAACCGAACCCAGGTCCTGTGGATGAGTGTCCAGTGCTCTTAACCACCAAGCCATTGTGTTCTCTTCTGAAATGGGAACATTAGTGATTTTGCTTCTGGTATTTTCTTCCCTCCTTTTTTCACACAACATTGCACGTGACTCATAAACAGAAATGAACATGAAATATGCCATCATAAATTCTTACCAGCACTAAAAATTTATACTTTAAAATTTCTCCTATTCTAATAGAGAATCACAGTTTTCAAAATTTATATAGAAAACCAACCAGTAACAATTTGGGATATTGTGAACAAAACAGCACTGAGACAGAAAAAATATTTTATAATCAGCTGTCTAACCATGATATAAATATTTCAATATAAAAAGACGGCATTGACCTAGACAGAGTGAAATAGGTAGTATTTTTTAAGTTTGTGGAATCAGGAATTGCCCATTTTTTCACAATGGCATTCACAGTTCTAGTAGTGATTTTGATTTCAGAGGTCAGAGATTCTGGGAAAAACTCATTTTTTTTAAAAGAGTTTCTTTCAGTTTTTGGTTATATATGTGCCTGTGTCTGTATTTCGGTGTGTTCATGTGAGTGCAGGTGCCTGTGGAGGCCAGAAATATAGGTCGTCCTCTGGATTCTGAGTTATAGGAATTGTGAGTTGCCACACTGGGGTGTGGTGATATATTATTTATGATTTAATAAAGATTGCCTGAAGTATCATAAAGCAAAATCAGCCACACTAGTTGGCTGTAGAAATGAGGCAGTGGTGGGACACACATTTAATCCCAGGACTCAGGAGACAGGCAGATGTATCTCTTTGAGTTCACGACTACCCAGACCTACACAAGAGTGAAGAATAACAGAACTCATGCCTTTGATCCCAGCACTTGGGATAACACACCTTTAATCCCAGCACTAAGGAGATGCAGACAGGAGTGATATGGCTGGGTGGAGAAAGGAATATAAGCGAGAGGAGACAGGAATTCAGAGCTGTTGCCTCTGAGGATTCGTGGAGACAGGATTGCCATCTCAACTTGGTATAGTTAAGATCTATTGACTTGACTGCTTTGCTTCAGGAAATCTTTATTAAATCATAAATAATTTGTCACCACATTGGGGTACTGGGAACTGGACTTGAACCCTCTTAACTATTGAGTCATCTCTTCAGCCATGGAAGAACTCACTTAGATTTCTAAAAATAGAATAGTTCTTATTTATTTATTTATTTGTTAAAATATGTTTTTCAAAATATAAAAAATTGAAATCTAATACATTTAAAGGAAGGGGGAATGTGATGTAATTCTATTTTAATTAAAACCTGTTATGTATAATAGTTTATGTTTATTCTCCAGCAATTTACATGTGTGTAAACAATGTATTTTGATCATATCCTTCTCTGACACGCTGTTACAATCCCCTAAAGTCCCTAACATCCCTTTCCTCCTTTCATGTCCTCTCTATTTTTTTCTTTTTTGGTAAGGCACTGAGTCCAATTTTGTGATGCATGTTGGAATGTCCATGCTATGTCTAGAAGATAGTATATCATAGCTCTCCTGCCCATCCTCCTGACCTTACATTCTTCCTACCCCTGTTCTGAGAAGTTCCCTGAGCCTTGTGTGTATGTGTGTGTGGAATGTTGATATAAATTTCTCATTTAGGCCAGACATTAATTTAAAAAAATGCTACTAAAATGCTCAGGGACAGATAAAGTTTTTTTGCTTCCTTTTAGATGGTGAATGTGTCTTTCCGTTCTGGTACAGACATGAAATATTCTATGACTGTGTCAATTTCAATGCAAAACACAAGTGGTGTTCTTTGAACAAGACTTTTCAAGGTTACTGGAAGTACTGTTCTCTCTCAGGTAAGAGTCTTGACTATAGATTCCGCAGATGGGAGGGTCATCCTTTGTCTTGGGGACCATTTGGTATGACAGGCAAGAACTCAGAATCCAGGGAATATTCTGAAGTGAAAATAAGAGATAGACAACTTCTTTGTTGCTGTTGTGTGTGAGTGCATATGTTGTATGTGTGAGAATGCGTGGGTGTGTATGTGTGAGTGTGTGAGTGAGTGAGGGGCACCAGAGGTCAATGCTGCGTATCTCCTTCTATTACCCTCTACTTTACTATTATTTATTAAGCCTGGAGCTTGCTAATTTGGTGAGACTACTTGGTCAGAAAGCCCAGGGGATCTGTCTTTCTCTACCTCCACAGTGTTGAGATTAGAGGCATGTAATGCTAAACCTGACTTTCTTTTTTTGGGGGGGTCTTAGGGTCTTCCTGTTGGCATAGTGAGGACTTCATACACCTAGTTGTCTTTTTAGTCCCCGAGATGCATGATTTCTGGCAGCAGTAAAATCACATATAATCAAACATGGGTTAGAGGTGTTTTGACTCCATCATCTTTATAAGGAAACTACTAGGAGCACATGAAAGGAGAAGGGGATTGCAGGGTAGTACCAATTTAATTTTCATAAGCTATTGGTGGACTAAGGAAGAGGATATTGTGCAGAAGTGTGAGAACTCTGTGTGTGTGTGTGTGTGTGTGTGAGTATGTGTATGTTTGTATGTATGCATATATGTGTTGCAAAGAAGAAAGTGTTCCTCTTCCCAATGCGTCTTTCTCTTACAGACTATGCTCAGTGTTCCTTTCCCTTTTGGTTCAGAAACATGATCTACTGGGATTGCACAGAGGATGGAGAGGTGTTTGGAAAAAAGTGGTGTTCACTCACGCCAAATTTCAACAAAGACCAGACTTGGAAATATTGTAAATAATGGTGAGACTTACTAGATGAGGATGAGGAGGAGGAAGAGGAGGAGGAGAATTGTGGGGAGGAAGAGAAGGAAGGAAAATACTGATTTTTCTTGAGGAGGACTTTCCCCCTTTCTTTTGGTCAGGAGAGGAAGAGATGGAGTCTTCATTACAAGTTTTTGTATAAATTTAAATTTTCTTTTTCTAGGATGTGAGTTGAAGATGCTCTGACTGTTGAAGACTTGGGGGTTAGATGATGGATTATGGCATTTTATGGAGAATTATTGTTTAGCTCCCATATTTTATTTGCTATGTGTATAAAAGGAAGCCCTTAAAAATACCATGTCAGGTGAAAGCATCCTGCCAATCTAATTTCTTTAGATATCACAGTCACACTACTCAGATGTGTTGATAATAGGGAAGTAAGGGGAATATGAAAACCTCATAACTTCTCCTTGATTTTGCTTTGAAGAAGAAGATGGTCCAAGTAAGTCAATTAGGAGTTCACTGCGAAGAAAAAACAATTTCTGAGAACATAGTTTTTGCTCTGTGCCGTGTCCACTTTGCTTTATATCTGCACCAACTCATTTCATGATCCACCCTTCCTCTTCCTAGCACCATTTGTATCCCGCAGTGAAGACTACCCAGCAAATGCCTCATCTTTTCACCCAAAAGAAGAACAGCAGACCCGAAACCTACCCTAATGGGTGAGAAGGATTTTGGTATGGAAACACCACAGCAACATGAAACAGCTTTGGAATACTCTACTGAGTAGCAAACACTTCCAAAATTGTCCAAAAGGGGAAGTCAACTGAGCAGAATTCAATGGTTTTCTAATAGAAGATAGCGAGGAATCATCAATACTAGACAGTAGGAGCTGTATCTTGCACTGTGTGAATTGGTGGGTGTTATACCTATCTCCTGTTTCATCTAGAACATAAAAGAGCTTGTGCAAACCTTAACCACTGTGGGCTTGGTGCTATAGGTACTAAGATGATGGGAAGAGCTCTAGTGAGCTTGTCAGCAGGGTCACATGAAACCTGGTTAGTTGGGGGTTTGGCAGGATGTGGTGCTCCATACTCAGAGATCCCCATCTTGGAACCCAGATAGCAATCTTTATGCCTATCTGGACCTTGGCTCTTTTTGGGTACCAGGTAATTTCAAAAGACATTGGCACCCATTTAGTTCCTGAAAGGAGAAAGCTACAAATCTGAGTCTTAGAGGTCTGTGTCTATGTCCTTTCTTATTCAGACAGCAAAGTCAGCAGTTCTTGGGCACTGGAAAGGTGTCTGGGCTAGAGCTGGACATGAGTTAGTATAAGAACATAGTACAAAAATGGAAGCCTGGGTTTCCATTACCAAACTTTTTATATCTTAAATAGGTTCACATGAAACCACCTCACTCAATGTCTACTTTTTGCAATATTCATAACTTTTCAAAAAATGATGTCTTGGCATAGAAGCAAGGTTTACCTTAAACTGATGAGTTTCCTACAATAACCTCCAAAGTTCTGGGATTACAGGCATTTGAAGATCACACACTAGGGGTGGATAAGATGACTCAGAGGGTAAAAGCTCATGCTACCAAGCCCGATGATCCAAGTTTGATCCCTAGAATCTACACAGTGGAAGGAGAGAACTATCTCCTGAAAGTTGTCCTCTGATCCCTTCTTCCTTCCACACAGCTAAAGACAAATGAGAACTAGATCTCCAGTTCATCATGACTTTATGTAATTGTGAATGACTATGTACAAACAGGAGTCCACCATAACAAAAGACCCCAGAAAAATCTGACTTTTTAAAAATCGATACCACACTATTCATTCCCTTTGTAAGGTAAAGAAAACTTTGATTTCATAAAGGCTTGGCAAAGTGGAGATGCAGAACTTGCTGTAGAGGCGGGACTGACACACCAGCAGTAGTTGGTATGTGCATGGAGTTCATTTGGTGGAGTGCTTGCCTAGCATGCAGAAGCCCTTGGATTCCATCCCCAGCACCTCGTAAATCAGGCATGGTGTAACAGTCCTGTAATCCCAGAACTTGGGAGGTGGATTCAAGAGGATCAGACATTCAAAGTAGTCTTTGTGGGTTTGAGGCCAGCCTGGGCTACATGAGTCCCTGTCTTGAATGAACAAACAAACACACACACAATCAAGAACACCACTCCCAACCCTTCACAAACCAAACTATCAGTGATATTCAAATTGCTCTTGGAAAGAACAAACAAAATGAAGGAGAACAGAGAGAAATTTTTTATTTAAATTAGCAACAAGCTTGCTTCACCAGTCAATCCCAGCTCCCTCTCCCTCTCCTCCTTCCCCGCCCCTCTCACCCACCTCCCTCAGTCCCCCCACCCAATCCCAACTCCATTCCCCAAGGAGGGTGAGGCTCTCCATGGGGATATCCAGAGTCTGTCATTTCATTCAGGGCAGGGCCTAGGCCCTTCCCCAAAAGTCCAGGATGAGAGAGCATCCCTCATTGTGGGATGGGCACTCAAAGTTCATTTGTATGCCAGGGATCTACTGCCCAAGGTTCCATAGATTGGCCAGGCCTCCTTGCTGAGCACCACATTCAGGGGGTCTGGATCAGTCCCATGCTGGCCTCTCAGCCATCAGTTGGGGGTCCAAGAGCTCCTCCTTGTTCAGGTCAGCAGTTTCTGTGGGTTTCACCAGCCTGGTCCTGACTCCTTTGCTCATCATTCCTCCCTCTCTGTCACTGGGTTCCAGGAGTTCAGTTCAGTGTCTAGCTGTGGGTGTCTGCCTCTGCTTCCATCAGTCACTGGATGAAGGTTCTAGGATGGCAAATAAGGTAGTCATCATTATCAGAGAGGGACATTTAAGGTAGAGGAGGGGAGAGAAGGACATGGGGAAGCAGGAAGGATGAGTCAGGGGAAGAATAGAGGAGAGCAGGATGAGAGATACCATAATAGAGGGAGCCATTCTAGGTTTGCGGAGAGATCTGGCACTAGTGAGACCTCCAGAGATCTACAAGGATGACATCAACTGGCAAGTGAAGCCATAGTGGAGAGACTACCTTAAATGCCCAGAGAGAAATTTTAAGACATTTTATTAATGAGAAATTCAAGAGAAGAAAAAGAATGTGTTCAGAACAAAACTGGTGATCACTAGGAAAGAGATGCTACCTAAGGACACGAGAGACAAATGCCAGGGATGTAAAGTCGCCAGCTGTTGTTCTGCAGAAGGCTAAGAGGATAATGAATGAGAAAGGCAATTCTGCACTGAAATGCTAACTTAATTATTAATCACATGAGGATCTTAAAAAAGCCTTGTTCCTAGTGAGTAGAAGAGAAGTTGTCAAGGAGAGCCTAGTGATGGGGCCCAGTGAAGGGGTCTGACACACATATGTGGATTCAGAGGCCTTTGTGGATAGGGCCATTAGACCAGGAAGTCTCAGGCTTTCTTTAGCGTGGCAGTGCAAAGTATCTGCATGAGAGCCTCCCTGCTCGCCCAGAGAAATGTGAGCTGAGAGAAGTGAGTCAGTTAGGAGTGGTCTACACAGTATGGCTTCTCAAGGATTTCCAGAGATAAACCTGATCACCAGTCCTCCTCTAGGAAGGGTCTACCTTTTAGAAGGTTTACCTGTAGAAGGACTTTCTGTCCCACCTGGTCCCACAGCTGTTTAGTCCCAAATAAAAACAGAGAGGCTTATATTAATTATAAACTGTTTGGCTGATGGCTTAGGCTTCTTACTGCCAAGCTCTCTCTTAATTATTAACCCATAGCTATTAATCTAAATATTTCTACTTGGACTTATCTTACCAGAGAATGCCCAGCATCCTATCTTCTTGGTAGCTACATGGCATCTCCATGGTGGCTCCTCTCTGTGTTCCTCTTCCTTGCATTCCCTATAGTCCAGCCTATACTTTCTGACTATCTATTGGCCAATCAGGATTTATGCACCAATGAATAAGAGAACTATATATTCACAGAATACAGAAGGACATCCCCCATCAGTTTATCTACATGCTTCCAGCTCAATCAGCCCTTTCAGTCTTAGCTAATGTTCATATTCCATTCCAGCCTTCTTCATGTATGGGGCTGTACCTCTGCTACTGGCATTGAGTATAGGACCTCTTGGAAGTTATGTAAGAGCTCTACCACTGTGTTATCTCTCCAATGATGCATTCCAGTCTTTTAGAAAAGGAATGATCCTTCCCTGGGCTTGTAGGAGCCAGAGGGATCAAGGGTATCACAAAAAACCCACAGAAATAACTAACCTGTCTCATCGGAACTCAGAGAGTCTGAACCAACAACCAGGGAACCTGCCTGGGACTGACCTAGGCCCTCTACATATATGTGACAGTTGTAAAGCTGGGTCTACTTGTAGAACTTCTAATAATGGGAGCAGGGGCTGTCCCCAAGCTTTGATTGGCTCTTCAGATCTTATTCCCCATACTGGGTTGCCTTGACTAGACTCAATACAGTGGGAGGTGCTTAGAGTTATCGCAACTTGATATGCCATACTTTGTTGGTACCCATGGGAAGCGTGCTCCTTTCTGAACTAAAACAGAGGAGGAGTAGATTTGGGGGATGGCAGGAAAGGGAGAGGAAACTGCAGCTGGGATGTAAAATAAATAATTAAATAAAAAGAAAGAGAATCATTATTACCATGAGGAGACCTGGCTTTGCCCAGTCCCATTCAGTGGGTAGAAGCTAAGGGATGGTATCTCACATCAAGACAGGGGAAATTCCTGCCTTCTGTTGCCTCCTAACATCTCTTGGCATGTGACTAGGCCTAGCCCTGTGAGTCTCATGTGCCATTTCATCTTTTTCACAGGTAGTCATATTCAAAAGGGGAGACTGAGAGTTTCTGAAGAGGGGCAGTTCTCTTATTTATCACTCCTATCAGAACAAGTGACACTGAGCTACACTCACATGGAATATTGCCCTTTGTGTTCGTGAAGTCATGAATATGCATCCCAGACACTTGCAGCTAGTTCGTGACCATGGGACATAGCATACCTACGATATACTTGAAATCTGAACCTCAGACAGATGACACAA